GAAGGCACCCAGGAAACGCAGTCAGGGGAGAGCAGGGATGGAGGCAGCCAGCGGGGGTGCGAGCGTGCCTTCACACCTCCCCCGCAGTGGTTCCTGTGGGTGGGCATAGCCACTCCCTCAGTTCTGACTGAGGACCCCAGACGGATTCTATGATCCAGGATGGAGACTGCACCCCTGGTTTGTTCCTAGTGGCGTAGGGACCACCACCTACACCCCTAAAAATCTGGGGGTTTGAGGCTATGGCACAAACTACCATTTTGCCGGCCAGAACCCATTCTCTCCTTCCAATGTTATCAGGGTGCAGTGACGTGTGGCCATGTGATCACCTGTTGGCCAATGAGACGTGAGCTGATGTGAGGCTTCTTTAAAGAGAAATGACTGGGCCAGAAAGAGCTCATCCGCCTCCCTCACTCTCCCCTGGGCCAGAACCCACCAGCCTCCCAGCCTCCCAGCCTCCCAGCCTCCCAGCCCCACGAGGCGCATTTGGCCAATGGCCTTTCCGGTTGCAGGGCCACCGGCTAACTCCCCATTGACGCGCCATCTTCAGAGTGGCCCGCCCATCCCCGGAGGGCCTGGCACTGCCCTTGCCCAGCCTGCAGTGGACAGTCATTATTCAGGGCTTTGTAAGACAATCGCCAAGTCTGAGCCACCAGGAAAAATGAGAAGACATTTATTGAGTCGTCTACAGCAGTTTGACATCCTCAACATCCCGGACGAGGTGTGAGCACAGCATTAATAGTGGCAGCGGGAGCGGGTCTGTGTGGCTGGTCTTTACCGAGCGAGATGGAGCCCAGGCTGACCCGGCTCCCACAAGGGGTCCTGGAGCCGCGTCTGGGATGCCAGGGTGGTCCCACGCTGGTCCTCACAGGGGCAAAGCGACGGAAGACGGACACAGCACAAGACACACGTGGCCAAGCACACACACCCCAGGACTGGAGTTCAGGGAAGGAGAGGAAATGGGCAGGCGGCCCACTCGAGGGACGTCCCAGATCTCTGGAGGATTCCCGTGGGTGGCAGGGGACGCTGACAGCACCCACGTCCTAACCCAAGAACAACCTGACTCACGATGGAGATACCCCTGGCATGGTGTCCATCGGGGCCTGGCCTCGCCTCTCCCTGGTGCTGGTAGGTTTCTACAGGTGGGACAAAGGTTACCCCAGGAGGGCTCGGGGCAGTTGACAAAGAGCACAGGGAGCCTTTCGGGGGTCTTCCCCCGATAACCATTCCCACCCGCGTGTGGTCACCAAAGCCCTTTCTCACAGGGGTCTCACTGCCGCCCCTTCCCTGGCCCATGGACAGACGCACAGCGTGTCCTCCCGCTTCCCGAGTCGGGAAGCAGCGGCCCAGAGAGGTTCAGCCAGGAGGGGCAGCCCGGGGTGGCACACAGGTCCCCCACATCACGGTGACCCCGCCACCCCTCCTGCACTCCGGAGTCCTAACAACTTCTGTGGCCAGAGCCCTGCCCTGCGCCGGGCGGAACGTGTTCTGAACAGATGCTTCCCTGAGGGTCTCATGGGGGCCACGTGCAGGGCCCTGTCCTCAGGCATATTTGCACGGGATCCCAGCAGGTGTAGGGCCAGGCTAGGCCCACCTGCATTTTGTCATCAGCCCAAGAGGGAGGTTGGACCTCCCGGCTCTAGTACTTTGTAAGTCACCCTGAAGATACACAGAGGTGTCAGGGCCAAACAGCAGGCCGGCGGCAAAGCCGGGAGAAACCCAGGTCCCTGTGCCCTGGTCATGAGGCTCAGGTAGGAATCTATGGTGACAAAGCACTCACTGCTTTCACTTTGGAGTGGCCTTGAGGGGGTCAAGGGGACTCACAGAATGACAGGAAGCCTCTCCCAGCTTTCCTTCCGGAAGGGACAGGGTCAGGAGGAGGTGAGAGCACCCTGGGTGGGGGGTGGCCTGGGATGTCAGGCCCCCAGAGTAGCCAGTTCAGGGAGGGAAGGGGTCCAAGAAGGACAGGCCCCTGGGTGGGTCAGAGAGCTGCCCACTAGACAGAGGATGTGGCCTGGCCTCAGGCATAGGGACAGTCACAAAGCTCTCAGTCCTGGGGGCCACCAGAGCCTCTGAACCCCCAAATCTCACACTCTGACCCCTCACAGGCTCCCTGCCTGAGTCCCGCTGCCCCAGGGCTGGGCCTTTCCGACACTGCCTCACCCCCAGGAGGACTCAGCCTCCCCTGGGGAGCTCTGTCCTGCAGGTTGCATGGAGCAAGAATCGCCCCCTTCCTGGCGATGACCTTGTAGAAACACGGAGTTGGGAACTCTGCCCTCCCCACTCCCCACGTCCTCCCCCTCCTCACTCAATGCGGCTTCTTATCCTTCCCGCACCAGGCAGACACTGAGATCCTTGCCAGGGCCCATTCCCAGCAGATGACTGGTGTTTAGACGGAGAATCCAGAGGTGCATTGGACGGGACAAACCACCTAGTCTTACTGTCCATTTTACAGATTTGAAAACAAAGGACCAGAGGGCGAGGCTGTCCCCAGACCTCATGCTCTCGCCCCCCATGCCTGTGACCCTGAAGGCCAGCTGCCTAGCCTCCTGGAACATCCCAAATGCGGCAGGGACCTCGGCTGACACGACAGGCAATCGTTGGTTCATAGAGAAAAACAAAATGACAAACCAGCGGGAACCTGGGGCCCACGAGGACCCAGGCCCAGGGCTCAGGCGGCAGCACGGGGAATTCGGGGCTGGTTTTGTTTTTGCTGATCTGTGGTCTCCATAGAAAGTCACAGCCTCTCTCTCACAGTGAAGCAGGCCTGCTGATGGGGCAGGGTAAGGAACAAGGGCCATGCTAGGGGGCCCCCCCCACGATCTGGAGGTGACCACTGTCCCAGCCAAGGTCAGGGCTGGGTCTGCACACCATGCCCAAGGCACTGGTCCAGTTGTCCCTGGCCCGACCCTTCCCTCCAGCTTCCACTGTGGTGTCCACATGGAAGAGGCGGCTGTTCCATTCCTAAGAATAAGCAGCACCGCCCACACACCTACTCAAACGTACACATCCAGACCTTGGGTGACACGCAGAACAGTGACACACCCTTTACCCGCTTTCCACCTGGACTGGAGGATTACGGAAGCACAGAGCCTGGAGACGCATTAGTCCCCTCATCTCCCAAATGGGGAAACTGAGGCCCAGACAGGGAGCGCTCTGTCCACATGCCCAGTGGTCTGAGCCTGGCGGCAGGCCCCCTGTCTCTGAATCCCAGCCTGTGGCCCCTTCCAAGCCGCTCAGGCCCCTCGGAGTGCAAGGTGGCCCGTGGACACCCCTGTGGGTAACACACTTGTCTCACAGAGCAGGGGAGGGGGGTCACGAGGTCAGAGGCCAGACGGAAGGACCGCGGCACACCCCACGGCCAGCCCGCGTCGCCAATGTGCCCAGGAAGTGGAGGCAGCTCCTTCGCCCTCTGATTTTGCCAAAAACCCAGGGCCTCCCGTTCTCCAACCCACACAGCTCAGCCTTACCCGGTCGCTCCGACGGCCTCTCCAGTAACGAGCAGCTCACAAGCCAGGCCCCTTCCTACTTCTCACACCAGACAAAGCCAGCCTCACTGTCCACCCCAGCTCCACCAGCATCCCAGGCCACGACCACGAAGCCAGTCCACAGACACTCAGCTGGGACATCAGAGCTGACACGGCGCGACGCCAGGCCCACACGCGGTGTCCCCACACTCGAGGCATGCATGGCGCTCCGACGCTATCCTCCACCCCACCCCACCCCAAACCTGGGTCTGGCCCATTTCCTCCTCACACTGTGGGGGGCCAGGACTGGGCTGGGGTACCCAACTCCTTCCACCTGCAGCTTCTCCTAAGAGGCATGGGGGGTGTGGCTTCCCCTTCAGCATCGAGGACACCCCAGCATCCTTCCTGTGACTCAAGGGCAAGAGCACACGGGGTCTTTGCCCCAGTCTCAGAGAGACTTCCTAGCTGAGGCCCAGCCCCAGGAGCTAGTGGCTGGGGCTCCTCGGGGTGGCGAGGGGCAATGGGGGGGAGTAAGGGGGGTCCTGGGCCTGGAATTGGGCCCACGGAGGGCTAAGGTGCTTCATCCTAGTCATGGCTTTGACTGAGGGGAAGGGAGTTGGGAGGACTTGGGGGTTCTATGTGGTGGACGTGGCTGGGGAGCAGTGATTCCCAGGCATCCATCTCTCCTTCCACAGCTGATGCCTGGGGTGCGGGGGGGGGGGGGGGCAGAAGGGAGGCTACCAGGCGATTCCCTGCCCACATGCGTCCGGGTGAATCACGGAGATGGTGAAGGCTTCCATGGGTCCTTCCCTGTCCGTCTCCTTCCCATCAGATGCGCATTTCCAGCTCTTGGCCGTCTTCCACGGGCCAAATGAAAAGCACCAGAACATTCCCCGACCTTTAGCCCCGCACCCAGACTGCAGTCTCAGAAAGGAAGCGCCCTGGAGCAGTCCCACCGCCCGAAACCCAGGAGCTGGGCACCCGGACAGCGAGAGGTTGGGGGAGCAGGAGGGCCTCATGTCTGGCCTGCACTGAAGGCCGCTCTGGCATCCACGTGGGACCCTGGATGGCCTCGGCGACAGGCAGGCCTGAGAAGGGCCCCCCGCTGGTGAGGAGTCCCCTGGAGAGTCAGACACTCTGAGAGGCTGTCCAGCAGGCCCCACCGAACCCCCAAAGCAAGGGTGTCGGCCTCAGGACCAGGTCAGGCGCTCGCTGAGGCTGGGGGGGGACGGGGCGGTGGAGCTGGGACCTGCTGGGGGTGGGCAGGGACACTGGACGAAGGGACCGGGATGGTACAACTTTCCCACATCTGATGAGTATTTACATGTGTGGGATCAGAGCCCATGGGTCTGTGGTGGGTGGGGCCAGCGCCAAATTGGAAGGGGGGCGAAATACCCTCTGCACCTGCATCCTCCTCCCCCCTCGGGGAGCCCGGCTTCTGGCCCAGGGCCTGCCCGAAGGGAGAAAAGAGGCAACATGCGTGGCCGGCGCCCATGGCAGCCCAGCCTGGCGTGAGGAGAGGAGGGCGGAGGGGGCTCAGGTGGCCAGGTTGTCGGCCGGGAGGCCGGACATGCGGATCTGGGAGCTGCTCTTGCTCAGGATGGAGAGCTGGGTGCCCCCGTTCACCCCGCTGCTGGCCAGGGACGGGTGCCGGTGCTTGAAGTCCACGGCGAAGTAGCGGTTCACCTTCCAGCTCCGCCACTTACGCTTGATCTCCGCCTGCACCTGCAGGGAGCAACAGGGCCGTCACCTCCCAGCAACATCCTCTCCGACCTCCCTTGTCCGGTGCCTCCTGCCCTGGGAACGCCCCGACTGGCCCGGCCACCTCCAGCCGAGCCCCGCGCACCCCCAAATGGCAGCTGGCAGCCCGGCCCCCAGTGGGAAAGGAAGGCCTGTGAGGATCAGACCGAGCCTCAAGCCCACGTCGCTGTCGAGCCAGGCCCGCGAGTGGCTTCCTGGGGTCCGTGGCCTCTCGTGTCCACGGCCAGTGACCAGCCGCTAGGGGCCTTCAGGAAGCTTTGCAGCGCTGGCCCTGGGCGGATGGATCGGGGCAAGGCGCCCTCTTGCTGACCATCAACATGGGCTGCATGTTAAACTCACGTGGAGAGCTTTAAAAAGCCAGACGCTCGGACCCGACCCCCAACAAGCACGTCAACATCTCTGGGGAAGTCCTGCGCCTGTTTGCAAACTTCCAGGGACTCCAGGATGCAGTCCAGGCTGAGAACCACAAATAATGCACCCCCTGGGCGGACACCGCCCCTTTGATCTTAGCATGGTGTTTGGGGGGGCACTCCCCATTTCTGTCTTTGTGCGCCTCCCATCTAGAACCTTGGTGGGGTGGGGTGCACAGACTGCACAACTGGAAATGGTACTGGCACCTCTCCAGCCCAGCTCCCCGTCCACAGCATCCTGGGCAAGCCCATGTCCTCCCCGCCTCCCCTCTGCCTCTCCGGGTCTGGCCTGGTCTGGCCTTGCTGCAGGGCGTCAGCGACCACTGAACCATATCTTCTTTCTTACGTGCAGAGTGGGGAAGCCCGCCGAGTCTCCCAGCCAAGAACCCAGCCTGGTGCCACGAGTTCCCATCCACCCCCAGCCCCACCACCTCAGCACCTCTGGTCTGGGCTCTGCTCAAAGCATCACCCTAAGAGGTTAGATCTGGGGACCCCAAGAGCAGAGCACTGGACGTGAGCATCACTAGAAGGTGCCAGGCCTCTCCCCATGGTCTCTGCCAAGTCCCCACAGTCCCCTCCCGACAGGGGTGGGTTTGGGCCGGCTGCCTGCTGGGAGCAGCGCGGAACTTTGGGCAGCTCCCCGCTCAGCACCCCTGCCCTTCACAGCGTCCTGAGTGGAGGGCACCACTCCTCTGCCTTGCCCTTCCTCACTCTGCGTTCTTCTTTACTGAGGGACATCCTATGAGAGCCCTCCCGGCGGGTCTGCCTCTGCAGCTGATGCCTTTGGGGGGGGGGGGGGGGCAAAGGGGATCTGCTCCAGAGGCTGGGCCTCGGCTGTGCAGCAAAGTGGGATAAAGTCTGGCACAAGGGCTGGGGTCGGGGGAGGAGGCTCTCAGGAGACCCTGGCGCCATGCCATCCCATCCCCACCCCTCACCCCCAGTCCGGTCTGGGAGCCTGGCAGAGCCCTGGTCTGGATGACGGGCCCTGTGTGCCAGCAGGCGGCACCCTGTCTGTTCCCTAGCGAGCCCACCTCCACTGCTGAGAAGCCAGAGGGGGGATCTTACCTCCCCGTTCAGAAAGCAGTAGAGAACAGCCACCACGAAGCCCTGGGGAGAGAGAGCAAGGACCCCTGAGCGTGCCCGCCAGGACCTCCACGCAGGTGTGCGGGAGGGGGCAGGAGCGACCAGGGAGCAGAATAACACGGTCACTTGGATGGGGCCGCCTGCCGCCCGGGAAGCTGGGATGAGAAAGTTCTGCTCCACCGAGACGGCCACAGCCATGGAGCCACCTGGCTGAGGAGGGAGCCCCTCCCATGGACGCACCTGGCTTCCGAGCTCACACCTTGGCCAAGTCCTTCCCTTTCCCAAAGGTCAGCTCGATGGATCCCTCTTCCTCCACGAGGCCTCCCCTGAACACCCCAGAATGTCCTCTGGGCTCCCCAGGCAGCCTGCAGGCCCCCCAAGGGCAGACCCAGCAGGACAGCCCAGCCCTGTGTTATATGCACCCCTCCCTAGGCCACATGTTCTGCGCACGCACACCCAGTGCACACGCTCTGCACACGCACCCAGACACCGTGAGCACGTGCTTGCGCACAACAGGGTCCGGCGCCCTGCCATGTTCTTTACGGAATTCTCTGCCTTCAGATTTCTTGTGCTGAGACAGGACCCAGCCTCTGACTCCCAAGCTAAGGCTTGGTCTTTCTAGGGGCAGTTTCATCAGCATAAGAATTAGGATGGGGGGAGGGAGACACTGAAGGCAGATACACAGAGGACCTTTCAGACCCTCCAAGTCAAATACATGTTTAAACACGTGGGTTCAGGACAGATTCTCTGCTGTAACCTGGGGACACTCCGGGGAGCCAGCCCTGCCTGCGCGGCCCACTCGTGCGCCCATCTGCTCAGCTGCTCACTCTGCACTGTCACACCACCTCCCGTCGCTCACTTGTTTACAACCCACCTTCTTAGTCCTTCACAGATGGAGTCCCTAGTTGTCTCTCCCTCCCTCCCTCTCTCTCTCTCTCTCTCTCTCTCTCTCTCTCTCTCTCTCTCTCCTCTCTCTCTCCCCCCCCCCCCGCCCCCCGTGGGTCATTTATTTATATGCCCGCGTGCTCTCCCACCAGTTCCGCTCGCCTGGCGCTCTGTGGCCAGGTCCTGTCCTAGGGCCCTGACTTGGGCAACACAGAGCCCCAGCGCTCACGGGGTGCCAGGTCCACAGGCTGGAGTCAGGACAGGGACACAGCGGTCTCTGGAGGCCACCCTGTCGGCACCTGGAGCGCGGATGAGGATGGGGAGCCACCGTCTTAGATCTCCTGAGAGGCCTGGCTCAGGGCACCCGGCCACAGTGACAGGAGACACCAGGGTCTTCTCACAGAAGCCAGAGTGCAGCAGCAGCAGCAGCAGCAGGGGCTCTCCCAGCCCCGGCTAGTCTAGTGCTCTCACGGCAGAGATGGAATCCTGGAGGCCCAGTTCAGGTTAAAGAAGCTTCTAGAACCACCAGCAGGTTAGGGCCAGGGCCCTGGATCCCTGTGAGCTCCCCTCCCCCCACCCCCCCGCACGTACCTGGAAGGAGCCCAGGCCCAGCTCGAACACCAGCCTCTCCCTCTTGCTGACATACTCGGGGGAGAAGGCGAAGATCGTGTAGTGGATCCCAAACAGCGGGATGAGCAGCAGGGTGGACCGCGCCAGCCGCCTGTCGGGAGAGAGGAGGATGTCCGCTCTGGGGGCCACCAGCGCTTGGGCCAGAGCCGTGGAGGGCAGAGAACCCCTTTATTCTCCCCAGAGCCCTGTCCATGGACCCTCCTTCAGGATTCTCCCCACGTACACAGGGCCTAGGAGGGGAGGTGGCCGACAGAGCCCACACCCCAGAGCTCCCTGGGAGGCTCTGGGGGGTGGGGGGACAGCCCCCAGTCTGCAGGGCTCCTGTCCCTGTAGGCCACATCCTGCAGACCCACTAAACGTGCACATGTGCGTATGTGATTTACAGACACCCCTCATGGGGAAAGCGAAGGCAGGGCAAATACGAGGGCGGGATGTGGAAGGCTTGAGTGACGACGTGATGGGCCCTCGGCAAAGCCCACAGTCTCCTGCTGCAAAGGGAGCTCCCGGGCCTGAAAGAGAGTCTGGGGCTAGTCATGGAGAGTGACAGGGAGGTGCTGAGTGGGGGGTGGGGGGAGTGGCCACAGAAGGAGAGACTTGGGCGGAAGGACCTACTGACTGTGGGCATGAACAATTCCCATGCAAGCAGGAGAAACCTGCCACCCGGGAGAGAAAGCTGTCTGCGTGGGGGTGGAGACCTCTTGCCCAGAAGCCAGCAATTCTGGGTTCCTCTGCCTGCCCCTGGCTCCTGGCCCAGTGGGAGGGGCTCTGTTCTGAGGGGTGGGGCACAGAAGCTCCGTGAGACATCAAGGGTGTGCACAGTGGTGCCCTTGTGGGCCCTGCTCTGTGAAAAGGGGGCTCCCAGAGGGTCTCCAAGCATGGGACCCCATCTCCGCCCACCGCAGCATACTGGCTGAGTCGGGGGCGAGTGGGAGGCTGGGTCCACGCGGGGGGCAGCTGGGCGTGGGGGCTGCCATGGGATTTGGGGCAGTGACACCGTGCATCCCTTCCTCTTCCCCACCCCAGCTTTTCTGGGGCAGAATGTTCTGTGGAGTCTGGGCTCTGGATCTCAGAAGCAAATCCCTGGAGCCGGAATAAGGCCCTTGGCTTCCCAGTGGGAAGGAAGGAGGGAAGGGAAGAAAGAGACGGAGGGAAGGAGAAAAGGAGAAAGGGGAGGGTAACCTGGGGAGATGAAGCCCCTCGAGGGCTGGGCGCCCACCCCTCTCCCCCTGCGGGCAGCCCATTCTGCAAGACCTGGCGTCCTCAGACCTGGGCTGGTGCCAGCAGGATCTGAGCAGGCACCCATCTGGGCCCAGGCACGGTGCTGCAGGGTCTATCCCTCCATCGTCTGCTCTCCCTCTCAGGCTGCGGCTCCTGAAGACAGCTGGCACCTCACTATCCCCACTGGCCTTGGGGCAGCACGTGCCGGCACAGCGCCCACCCCCAGGGCCTGTCTATGGAGGAACAGATGGCCGCACAGCCAGTCTGAAAGCCTCAGTCCTTACACTGACGGTGACCTGGGCACTCGGTCCTCTGCTGGCACCTGGAGCCTGGCACTGAAGACAGCAGGGAGTGTTAGCTAAAGAATGAAAATTTAAACCCAGCTGGTGTGGCTCCGTGGTTGAGCATCAACCTATGAACCAGGAAGTCACGGTTTGATTCCCAATCAGGGCACATGCCCGGGTTGTAGGCTCGATCCTGAGTGGGGAGCATGCAGGAGGCAGCCGGTCACTAATTCTCTCTCATCATTGATGTTTCTCTCTCTCTCTCTCTCTCTCTCTTCCTCTCTCTCCCTCTCTCTCTTTCTCTCTCTCCCTCTCCCTTCCTCTCTGAAATCAATAAAAAGATACTTAACACAAAAAATGAATGAAAATTTAAAAAGAAGAGGCAAGTGGCCTGGAAATGCAGACATGTGCTCATCTTGGGGGCCCCTCGGTGACGCTCCCTAAAGGGACTACTTTGCAAGAGCAACTTAATTGGGGGGCTCAGGAGGGAAGGTGCCCTGGGACGTGCCTGTGGTCCCTGCCTTCCTCCCTCCAGCTCTTCTCCCACAAATGGGCCCGTTCCCAGGGACTTTTCCCTGCAGTTTGAAAAGAACCCTGGACACCACAGGGCCACCCTCTCCAGCCTTTGTGGTGGCGGTGGATGGCCAGGGGTCAGTGTGTGAGACACAGTGACCTTTCGGGCATGGGCTCCGGCCCTGACCACCCCCTGGCCAGTGTGGCGACTAGTATCAGGTGCCCGCTGCACAGCCAGGGATCGCACCTTCCCTCTGGCAGCCCTAAGGCTGCCCGGAACAGTCGGGGAGTCTGCTGGGGACCCAGCGCATCCCAGGGACCCTCTGGCAGATGGGGAAGTGGAGGCAGGTGGGGAGATCTCTGGGCCCAGAGTTCTGGGGCCTCTGCCCTTCAGAGCTGGCCAGAGGCCTTGGAATGGGGACATACGGTGTGAGCCTCGGGACGCCCCTCTGAGGACAGTCACAGAATCACCATCTGATCTGATTAACCCAGAGACAGTGACACGGGCCCTTGGCGTCTGTCCCCTGCCCCTAAGGGGCATCCATGGCAGAAAAATACCCAGAACAGCTTCCCACAGTCAGAGATGCTCATCCCACTTAAAAGGATGTCCAACGAGGTGGCTGCTCCGGCCAGAGACACCCTGGGGCCAGGTGACAGGACTCCCTGGGTTCAAGTCCTCACCCTGCCAATTATGTGACCTGGAGTGGGTCACTTCATTTCTCTATGCCTCAGTTTTCACATCTGTAAAATGGGGATAAACAAGTACCCACCTCATAAGGTTGTGGTGGGAACTCAGAGAGTGAACACAGACCGGGCACGTGAACGTAAGTGAGGTTTGCTGCAGTGAGAGTCCCTGTCCCGGGTGGGGGAACCAACCCTATGAACTCAAGCTCTGAGACTAGCAGAAATAATTTAGCAGTTCCAAAGACTCGACCAAGAGAAGTAAGACATTTGGGAAAGACCACACATCAAAGGCAGCAGCCAAGCCCCAGCGGCTCCATCCCCACGGCCTCCTTTCCCGTGCCACACCCCCGCCCCCAAGAGTGCAGAGAACTCACAAGACACACAGAGGTCAACATGCAACAGCCAGGGGGGCTCGGGGCTGGGGGCACTGTGCTCTGCTCTCCCCAGTCCAGCGGCAGGACGCGGGCTCCAGGCGGTGGCGGCATGCGCCCCCCTCCCCTCCAGGACACGGGCCACAGCCACGCACACTTACAGAGTAATGGTGGACAGTTCTGACATCTTGCAAGAGTGCTGCTGAGCCCGCTCTGGCCTGCAGTAGCATTTCTGCACGCAGCTGCTGGTGCGACAAGATCAGCACTGGTGTCAGCCGGGGCACCGGGCAATGGAGAAACTGAGGTGGGACTTAGAGCCACAGAGTCCATGGGGAGGGAGGGGAGGGCAGAGGAGCCGAGGGTGTGGAGAGAGGACCGGGCAGTGACATGGAGAATGAGGAAGCCAAGGGCCAAGACAGGGTCAGCTCAGGACAGGGAAACACACACCCATACATGTATACGTCTGTGCATGGACATGCACACACACATGAGCACTCATACTGGGACCACCGACGTGGGGGGTGAGGCTTGAAGAGAACACGTGTTCAGAAGGTGGGGCCTTGGCTGGGTCTCTGAGCCAGAAGCTGTCGCCATGGGCAATTCTGGGCTCAGGGCGCGGCCTTGTCTGAGGTCACCCAGAGAGCTGAGCAACTGGAAACACCATGGATCTCGAGGTGCCCAGCCCTGGTGGACTGAGCCTGGACCCGGGCAAGCTGTGGGCTCATTATGGAGCCCGACTCGATGGCCACCGTCTCCCCTCTACACCTCTCTTCTTCCACCCGAACCTTCCTGAGCCCCCAGGCACTTCGGGGCGGGCATACAGGGGCGCAGAGGTGGCCTGGACAGAACAGACTTAGTTCAGACCAGACCTATCCACTGTGACAGCCACTACCCATCTGTGGCTGAGTTTAAATTAAATCAAATAAAAAAGCCACCTCCTCGCAGGCCCTCGCCACACGGCAAGGACTCGACAGCCACATGTATTAGTGAGTGTCACAGGGTCAGCACAGATCGCGGGCATCTGCCGCCGCTGAGTCCCAGAGCACGGCACTGGTCTGGCTCAACCTCCTGAGAGAAGTCGGATGGGCAGGGGCTGAGGCTGAGGGGGCGTCTTTGGCACTGTCCCTCTGCCTGCAGAAACAAGTCATCTGCAGGGGCATCTACGTGTGGGCCCGGGGTCCAGTCTAGCTGGACAGCCAGTGGGCGAGGCCGAGCCTCCCTCTGCAGAGGCTCACGCGGAACGCCCATCTCTTCCAGCCCTTCTCTGCCCTGTGGATGCTGGGGGTGGCACACCCCCGGACACTTCTCTTCCTTCTCGGACAAACACGTACGTGGGGGATTAAGACTGCAATAGACGCGCCCGCTTCACACACCCTCCTCAGGCACCACATGGCCTGAGCCCCGGAACCTGCCCGTGGCTGCCGATCTAAGGGGCCTGATACAATAAGAGAAATGCAGGAAGGGCTCACAGCTTCATCATTTGTGAGTCCAGCTCTCTGAGAGCAAGTCTGCGGGTCCTTGGCCTGGGGGACATGTCATTCTACTGAGGCAAACCTTCGAATCACACATTCCAAAGATGGAGCCAACTGAGGTCCCCCAGTGCCCCAGTGTGGGGGTGGGGTTCTCACTTAGGTAACAGCATCTCTCAATTCCCACCGCGCTGTGAGGTGGGCGGAACGGCCCATTTTATAGATGAGGATGTGGGACACGATGCTCGGCTACCCAGAGTGGGGTCCCAAACCAGCAGCAGCAGCCGCCCCCCCCCCGCCGAGAGCTCCTTAGAAAGCAGAATCTCGGGTGCCACCCAGACCTCGGCTCCGAACCGGCACTTGCACACGATCCCCTGGTGGCCCAAGTCAAGTCCTACATTGGAGACGGTTCCTCCTGTGTCCTCAATGAATGTCAAAGGTCCGCTTCGTATGCACACAGAGACAGATGGACACACGTGCGCTGCTGTTCCTCTCATCACATACACATGTAAGTGTAATTGTAAAAGGTTGGTCAGGCTTTCAGGAATGGAAGCCATCCTACTCTTCACGTGTATTTGCTGCCTCCCCCAGGTTGAAAGGGTGGCAACTCTCCCCTAAGGTCAGTGGCCTGGCCCCTCAACCTTGGCCTGCGTGTGGCACAGAAACCGGGGTCCCGGAGCCCGAGCGCCCGAACCTCGGATGAGCCTCCGACACAGCTGCACGCAGAATTCTAAAGCCTCAGCTGCTCCCCTTTGAGGTCTCTCCTCCTGGAGCTCCCACACGTTCCCCCTTCCTGGGCTGGAGGCCGGAACTCGGCCCCTGGGAGACGTGTGCCTCTGATGGGGAGTGGGGTGCAGGGAGCAATGGGGGGGCCTGGCACCGGGGAGGGCTCTCAGAAGGATCTAAGGACAAAGGGAAGGGCTGTTCTTTCCAAACACACCCCTCCCCCAAATCCTCAACGACTGCCCACAAGGACCCGCAGACGAGAAACACGAGAGCGCGGCAGGAGGCCAGAGACAGGCGTGAGAAAGGCGTCAGATTCCCTGCCAGCCACAGCAACTAGTGAAGGAGGGAAAAGGAATTTAACCACGAGGGAGAGAAAAGCCCAGGCCGACGCACGCACTCAGTTCTGATTTGGATCCAAGGAAGATAAGAAACTCAGACAAGGGTGCTGGGTGGGGCTTCTTGGCGACCAGCACCAGCCAGTCTCCGAGGGAGACCCCGTGGCAGGAAGGCAGAGAGCCCGGCTCCCAGCCCGGTCCTGCCAGGCTTTGCTGTCCGTCCACAGGAAGGTCAAAGCCATTTCCAGGTCTGGGCTCTCCCATCTACAACCAGGGATGCAGCACCTGGTTCCTTGGGCTCCTGCTTTGGACTCAGGCCAGACTCCACGATGCTTCAGTGCCTTTCAAGGGCGGGGCCGCCGGGCTGTGGGCCTAGGCAACACCTGACCGGATGCAGCCGAGACCCCTGCAGGGAGACCTCCGTGGGCAGCCCCGTCTGTGCACCCTCATCCTAGTGACCAGTGTGGCACTGGATATGCCCAGCCCGCAGGATGTCGTGGTCTGAACTGAACATTCTCTAGAGGGTCCCCCTATGCTAAGATGCTGGGAACCCCCAGAACCCAACCCAGTCCCCAGGGGGGCTTTCCACCCCACACTGGTACCCCTACCAGAAGCCCAGCTGTGACCTTGGGTGGGCCATTTTCCTTCTCTGGGCCTCAGTTTCTCTCTCTGCAAAATGGGGGTAACCATTCCCTGCCGCCAATCCCTAACAGGAGTTGGGATGCTGGGGTGCTCCGAGACAGGGGAGAGGGTGCTTTAGTAGTGGAAGATGGGGCCCATGAGAACCGGGCGCCGTGAGGGGTACCCGAGTCCCTGACTGGAAGCGTCTGTCTGCAGAGGTCCTGGGTACATGACGGCCCTGCTGAGCCACCCAGGACATCACCGTGTCTGTTCTCGTCTCCTTCCTTTACCCGGGGACCATGGAGACCCTCTGTGGGGTCCCTGAGGGGGACGCAGATGGGGTTTCCCTCCCCCACACCAGACCCAAGTGGCAGCTCCGGATGCCCACCGTGCCGTGGGAAGCCCACCGGGGATAAAGCCCTCCTTCAGGGCCTGGCCTGAGCCGCTCAACGCAATCCTGTCTGCCCTGCAGCCTCCCCCTCCCCCTTCAGAGCCCCTGCTTCTCACAGAGGTAAACGCTGGTCCCAGGGAAAGGCAGGCGAACCCTGACCCCAGGGGTTATCAGCTGAGCCCTAACCCCTGCCCAAGACCAGGGCGAGCCTGAGCACAAGCCGAGCCCTGACCCAGGCCCGCACTCCACGCCCAAGTCCTGACCCCGGATGCTCATTGTACGAGGAGCACCAGGGAGAGAGTGTGGGGGGCTCATGCCCCCGCCCAGCCCCCAGGTCCATGGGAGGCTGGGCCGAGAGCGCCGTCTTGGTCTACGTAGGACACACCCTTATCAGCTGAGCCGCTGGCACCAACCTACAGGAAAGGGGGTGAATGCTGGTCTGAGGGCACAGGCAGGGGGTCCTCTCGGGCTTTCTTGGGGACTCCCAGGCTTATATTTGTTCTGGAAACAGAGGAAAAAATCAAAAAGCTGTAGGTAGGTCTGAAGGGCTTCTCAGCCCAACACACACTTGGTGGCCCAAGGGGACAGGGGCACCGCCCTCAAACCCTCTCCCACGGGCCCTGCCCCTTCCAATCCCCCACCGTCTCCCTGCCCACAGCAGACCCCTTGCAGCTCAATGCCCTCCGGGGGGCAGCTTCACACAAGGCTGGAACCCCGGGGCCTCTTCTTCCAGGAAGCCTTGTTTATATACTTGCTTACCACCCTCCTCTGCCTGGGACGTCCCTGAGGCCGGGAATGGGGGTTACAGTGGAGCCTGGGGTGCAGGGCCTGCCTGCCTGCAGCGCAGCTATGCCTTCACACTTCCCCACTGGACTCCCTGCCCTTCACCAATAACCAGCTCCCTCGGCTGCGACACAGGGGTTACATGTGCATGCAGACATTTCTACGCCCATCTCGCCAGACCCTCTGCAGCACCGTCTCTTTCATGACCCCTCACTCCCGCAGCAGGGCCTCCTTGACTCAGACCCTCGCTGAACTGAATAGGATCAAGCTGACCCTTGTCCTGCATGGGTCCTACCCCCCCCACCCCCCTCCTCCCGTGTGCAGACCACATCCATCCAAGGGTTTATTTAACCTTTAGGGCTTAAGATGAGCCCATGCTTCGCTTTCTCTATAAAAAGGACTTGCTGAGATTGTGAGGGGACTTTTTACACGAGAGAAGCAAGCCCTTAGCGGGTTCTTTAAACATGTATGCTCACATATACACTTCACAGATGGTGTGTGTTTTTTACAGATTAAAAGGTTTTTTGTTTGTTTGTTTGTTTGTTTGTTTTATATATTTTTATTGATTTCAGTTGAGCAAGTCTATTGGTACCATTTGCTCACTTCCTGTCTGTCACATTCTGGTAATTCCTGCAATATTCAACTTTGTCGTTATCATTGCATTGGTTGTGGTGACCTGTGGTCAGTGACCTTTGATGTGACCTTGGTAGTTGTTTCGGAGCCCACACGCCAGGCCCTCAGAAGACAAACAACCGACAGATGTCGAGTGTTCTGGCTGCTCCAGCGACTGCCCGTTCCCCAGTCTTTCTCCCTCTCCTCAGGCCCCTGTTCCCCGAGACACAGCGACATGGACGTGTCCTTACTCAGGCTGTGGCTGGGCCTGTGTGTCTCTGTACAGGCAGAGTGAGGGGGCGCAGGGAGAAGCCCAGAGAAGGGGTCCCAGGACCTCAGAAGAAGAGACGGATTCTACCAGGACCCGGGGCCGGGCGGCCGAAGCTGCCAGAGCCCAAAGGAGCGATGAGGCTGACTCGGCTACACACTGGCGTCAGGGATCTGAGATTAGTTTGGTGGGAGCCAATCCACCCTCGAGCAGGAAACTGGGACCAGACACAAGGACACAGATCCTGACACCAGACAGGGAAGGGGGAGGAGAGCAGCAGGGCCCCGCTGGCCAGACCTGGGGACAGGCAGGAATGGCCTCTCTAGGACACTTAGTTCGTTGCAGAGGACAGGCCTGGGAGACTGAATGACATGATGGGTGAATAATTTTTTTACTACATGACATACACGTATAAGCAGAGGTTGGTAGGAACTTGCAAAAGTATGAAAAAAAGAAAAAACAGTAAATGAATAACAAAACAGGAGGGGGTTCCTTCCCAATGTAATGGAATCATCCTCTATGCAGACGAAACAAAGCTCACCCCGCCAGGCCCTGAGCTGGTCCCCACCCCAGGGGAAGGGCTCCACAAGGGGTGGTGCCTGGGCTGCACAGACAGACAAGGGAAGCCCCAAGGAGTCTGAGGGAAGGACCTAGGATGGCTCTCTGAGCAGTCTCTGCCTCTCTCTCTCTCTCTCTCTCTCTCTCTCCTTCTCTCTCTCTTTCTCTTCAGGAGAATGGTTGGATGGGGGAGCCCTCTGCTGGGGTCTGCCTGCTGCCCCAGTTGTCCACTGAGCAGCTATTAAAATTCTGGGGTCTCTGATGAAGGCAGGACAAAGCCCCCCACAGATGCAATGAGAATACCTCAGCTCCTTCTAACCTGCTCTCCTCTTAACAAGCCAAGGAAGCAACACCTGTGGCTCATCCCTTGCCCACGGACAGACCCCAGAGACTGCCCCAGATTCTCTGTGCCCATCTGGCCCCTCCGGCCACCCACAGGGGACTGGCCTTCCGCCCCAGCATCAGAAGTAACTCCACTCCCCACACACCTAGCTGGTCATGGTCATGCTTCTGATCACAAGGCAAGAAGAGTCAGGTAGAAGGTACTCAGTCTGACTCAGGGTGGGTCGAGGGCTGGGACAGGCTGGGACGGGTGGGACAGGGTGGGCCGCAGCAAGCAGGGATACGCTGCTGGGGACACGACTGCAGGAACACTTGTAGGAACAAACCACAAGGCAGTGGAGGTGAATGAAGAAAACCCTACACTCAATGCTAAGAGGCGGCCTGCGAACCCCATCAATCCAAAACTTATCAGATGCTCCTTTGCTCAGGAAAGAGGGAATTCTAGTGGGAGGACCAGACCCCAAAGTACAGCTCCTCTCCGAGGGAAGGAGAAGAAAAAGACTCCCTCCTTCCATTACCCAGACCAGCGAGAACGTCCACGTGACCTGCTGGTGGGGCTGAAGCAACTTGCACACAAGGGCTGGGACAGGACCAGCAGGCAGCCAGTGGCGCTCATGAGCTTCCCAGAGAACCGAGATCCCCAAAGGAAATCCGACTTCTGAGCAACCAAGACCCTAACTACCCTCGGGAACCTGGCAATTTCCGTCTTGATTTCCTAGGGTGACATGTCATCGGCCAGCCTCCTCCAATCTCTTTTCCCTTCCATGTCATCGCCATGTGGATTAGGAGCTGCTGGCTTGGCTGAGGAGAGATGGGCAACTAGATTCCAAAGGCACTTTAATCAGAAAGGAATCTTATAAAAGCCCACGCTAGGCTACCCTGTCCCCCAAACCCAGGCCTGTCCTCCGGTGGCCTGCGTCAGGGCCCCCTCAGCTGGCGGAGGGGACGATGGCGTTCACACGGTGGTACTTACAAGTAGACGCTGGACTCGTTGCCTCCCATGTCTGGAGACTGAAGTTTCTGCACGAGGATGAAGATGATGCCCACGAAGAGCCCAAAGTTCACCTGAGGAGCAAAGGAAAAGCCGATGGAAATGATCCTGGGCAGAGCCTGTCCACACTCCTACCTCTGCATACGCCACTATCCCTCCAACAGGGCCCCCCATCCCCATCCAGCCGAGATCCCAGCTAGACTCAGAATTCGGAACAGCGTTCATATGGTTGAAATGACAGAAGAGACAGACACAGAAGAATTCCACAGGAGTACCAAGAAATGGGAAATATATCATTAGTGAGCCAGGAAAGTGAGCAATTTCTGGCAGAGAGAGAGAGAGCAGATAGGGTTGAGGTGATGGAATCATTCCGATGCCAGACAGAAAGAGAAGAGGCTGCTGCAGAGGTGAGAGCTGGCCGCTGGGCACGCCAAGGTCACAGTCACTGAATATGGGGGGCCAGAATGGACAACCACACCCCTTATCCATCCAAGGCCTGGGGATGGTGACAGCAGCATTTACCTGCAGGTACAGATCAGGGCAAAAGCTCTCTAATCAAAGTGGGGAGCAATATGTATGGTGAGGAAGGAGGGAGGCGAGCAAATAAATAGAAATGAGGCACCGAGAGAGGAGCACACGGCAACATCCGATGCAGCCAAAGCAGCGCTCCGAGGAAAACGATAGCCCAACACTTACTAAAAAATGATAAATGCTGAAGACAAAATAATTAAGCATTCAAATCGAAGGCTAGGAAAAGAGTACCACACATGTAACGTATACAAGAAAATTAAGAAAGACCAAAATTCATTATTTAAAAAAAAACAACAGGGAAAAAAGGTAGACCGGGTCAATAAAAATACATTTCCATTTTAGGTCTTGTTTGTTTGTTTTCACAGAGCTGTTGGGATTATACAGAATGCCATGTGAGGGCAGGGTGCTGCTCATCAGGTTCTCTACCGCTCTCATCGGTACCTGGAATTTAGCTCAGTAAACACTGCTAACTGCGTAAGTCCATTCAAAGGAGGGAAAAGTAATTAGAAAAACAACAACACTAAAAGCTTCCCAATCTATCAATAGTAATCTACGAAAACATGTAATGAAAGAATAAATCCAGGCTGGCTGGATTTATCTTGTAGGTAAATTACAAAGACAACTGAAAAAACTGTACAAAACGTCTCTATGAGAAACACTGAATAAATGGAGATGCATGCATGCTCTTGGAGAGAAAGACTCAATATTTTAAGAATATCAGTTACAGCCATCCCTCCTTCCTCACCCTGAGCGGATGCTTAAGACCGTGGAGAATACCAAACCCTACATATCCATGTTTTTTCCTATACAAACGTATCTGTGATAAAGTTTAATTTATAAATTAGGCATAGTAAGAGATTAGCCATACCTAATAATAAAACAGACCAATTGCAACAATATACTGTAATAAATGTGAATGTGGTCTTTTTCTTCCTCAAAATATGACAATCAGTCTGATCACTGGCCAAGATGGCTGCTTTGACTAACAGGTGTGTAGCCGATACAGTGAGGATACACTGGACAAAGAGACGGTCCATGCTGGGGTCGGACAGCGTGACTCAGTGCGAGATTTCTTCACGCTACTCATAATAGCGTCCAATTTAAAATTTATGAATTGTGTATTTCTGGAATTTTTCTTTTAAATTTTTTTCCAGTCTGGCCAGTGTGGATCAGTGGTTGAGTGTCGACCTATGAGCCAGGAGGTCACAGCTTGATTCCCAGTCAGGGCACATGCCTGGGTTGCAGGCTCGATCCCCAGTGTGCAACAGGCCGGAGGCAGCTGATCACTGATTCTCTCTCATTATTGATGTTTCTATCTCTCTCTCCCTCTCCCTTCCTCTCTGAAATCAATAAAAATATATATATATTTTTAAAATTGTTTCCATACCACGGTTGACTGTAGGGAGCTAAAAACTTAGGAAGCAAAACAGTGGATAACTGGGGGAAAGGTGGGACTGTATCTTCCAAATTAGTTTATAAATTCAGTTTAATTCCTATAAAAATTGCAATTAGACTATTTTCTTGCAACTTGCCAAAGGATTTGAAATCACTTGAAAAAGAAAATCTACAAGAAGATTTTGAAAGAAAAAAAGATAAAGAAGGGAAAATTAGCATACCAGATATGAAACCATGCTACAGTGTTATAGTAACTAGCCCAGTGAGGTACTGACCATGGAAGAAGCTAGTAGATTAGTAACATCAAACTGAAAATCTGGAACCAAATGAAATACAGTGAGCGTTTAAGATACAATGACATTTCAACATAATGGAGAAAGGATAATCTATTCAATAGAAATAATTGAGAGACTGGAACATCTATCCACTAGGGGGAAAAAAAATAAAATTAGATAAAATTAGGTATCATTTCAGATCAAGGAAATAAAATTTCAGCCGGACTAAAGCATGTAATAACCCAATCGACAAAAATGTGACAAAACAATTAAGAAGCATATCTTTCTGTCATAGGTCAGGAAAGTCCTCCTTAAGCAAGAAACAAGGCTCGGAATGTGGAAAGAGGAAGCCTGAGGGTTTCACTGCATAAGAGTTATGCCGTCTTGGAAACACACTTACAACACGTGTACCGAATGTAGTGTTACTATCCTTCAAACAATAAGACAGACAACAACGGGGCTAGAAAAATAAGCATTAAAAAATAAGTAAAAAGGTAATAACCAGAATAAAAACAAATCGTCAACAAATATCTGGGAAAGGCCCTGAGGCACTAGCAACATGGAAAAATGCCTGTTAAAGCATCGAGCAACCATTACCCCCTGCCCCAAAAGATTGTCCACAATTATGCACAGAACCCTCTCTAGTGGTATCTTTTGCGATGAGGAAAAATGGGAGCATATAAATGGCCAACGCTCTCAGGATAGCTAGAGCATGTGTACATCCATGCTGCGGAATACACTGCAGCCATGAGAAGGGAGGAGGCTGGTTTAGGTTTCCTCTCCCGTCGTGCCTTTATGCCCAAGCCGCCGCCACCTCTTCCCTGCTCCTTGTCCCAAGGGCACTCACCATTATGGAACCAACCACGGGGCCTTTGATCACCCACCACAGAGGAGTGCTGTCATTCATATCCCAGCAGCTGAGAGACAGAGAGAGAAGCGAGGTTATGCTCAGGGACAGGGCCCCTGCAGGACCATGTCTCTGGCCCTGGCTGGTGCTTCCCCTGCAGCTCCCTGAGGAGGGGCGGCTGGAAGGAGAGGTCTCAGGTGCCGCGGGCCTTCCCTCAGCAGGGATTGCAGTCCACGAGTCAGGGTCACCACAGGGCTCCTGGGCAAGGGCCACCTTCCCCTTCACACCTAGGACTCTTGGGGGGCGAGTTTCCCCTGCACTCATCCTCCCACCCCTGAAAGGAAGCGGATGCCCCGCTCCGGCCCAGGAGCAGAGCGGGGCTCTGAGCCATGCTCCTTCCCACTGCCTTCTGGCTGAGGTGTGGCTGGGTGGACCCACCTGTGGGCGGCTCAGGGCACAGTGGGTGCCCAGCCTGGTATCGTTTGCCTGGGGCCGGTAAAGCGGGGTCCCCCATGGAGAACCCACACAGAAAACCAGCCCAGCGCTCGGGCACGCACTCACCCTGTGTTGTCAAAGTAGAGCCTCAGCGCAGCCCACACCGACACACAGATGGTTGGGGACCCTGCAAGAGCAACAAAGGAGCCCCGTGGTAACAGGAACACCAGCAGGCCATGTCCCCCTCAGACTTGGGGCTCCCTGTGGCTATCATCCCCACTCAGACATGGGGTTCTGACCCACAGGCATGGCTCCCTCTCAGACCTGGAGTTTGGGGACCCTAACTGTCCCTTATACCCAGAGGTCCATGTCTCCCCCTGACCATGGGCTAGCTATCCTTACAGAGTATGTCCTCTCAGAAGGTGGGCTTTCTGGGGGCAGGAAGAGCAGGAAAGAGTGCAAGCAGCAGGTGTGTGGCATTGGGGCAAGGGGGAGGGGACAGGGAAGTTCCTCCTCTGGTCTGATGCTCCCCCACGGGCACCGAGGACATGCCTGGCCCCGAGGCCATAGCAGACCTACCCCAGCCAACCATGGTGTACCAGTAGAAGTATCTCCTCTCGGGGAAGAAGGTCTCCACCAGCAGGGTGAAGAGGTACAGGCCCTCGATGAACAGCCAGAAGTAGTTGGACACAACGCAGTAGTGGAAGAAAACCATTATGGCCTTGCACTCCACCTGCCGAGGGGGCCGGAGAGGGAGGGCGACGTGAGCCCCCATCCCCTGCCCCGCCGAGCCCTGAGAACCAGCCCCGGGAGCAGGGAGAATTCCGAGGGCCCTTCAGCTCTGGCCTGCTCAGGTTCACACCCCATGGCTCGGAAACACTCAACATTCCTGGCTTCCAAAAGTTTAAAGTACTTTTGGAAGCTACTCACAGAGACAACACTGCCCACGTCAGCAAAGGACAGGGTGGGGTGAGCATTGAGCCCCCTCCCCAGGCTCATTCTCCCCATCTTCCTGCCCCTTCCCAGGTCCCACAGGTGAGGTGAGTAGGCAGGTCCCTGTGTGAGGCCCCTTCGTCAAATGAGGGCTTTAGACATCACAGGGGTAGAGGAGGTACCCCGGGCCCCCCAGAAATCTCACAGAGAACGCAGGCTCTAAGTGTGCCTCCGAGCCAAGGCCCTGTGCTCTCGGCAGATTTTGCCCTCCTGCCCCATCCAAACCCATCTTCTCTGCTGACCTGAGGACTGAGAGGTCTGGGGAGGAGATCTAGGAAGATGCCAGCCCACAGGCCTTGGGCTCCGTCATGGGCGGTCGGTAACCAGCCCTCGGTGAGCCTGTGTGCATCCTAGCCAAGTGGGACCCGGCCTTTCCACCTGACCTCCAACTGCTCTGCCGAGTGCACGCAGGTGCCGAGGGCCAGGCCATGGCCTCAAGCAGGCGAGTCCCTGGCTGCTGGTGGCCTGGTGATCTCTCCTGGGTTTCCCTGTTTGCTGGGACTGTGTGTTAACCTGCGGGAAAGCCCCGGACCTCGCACGTCCCGGATGTCCCTGGCCGGGCACTCACGGTGGAGATGTAGCAGTGGTTGTTGTCCTGCTCCTCATACAGGATCCAGTCCTTGATGAAGACAGAGATGGCCCTCAGCATGAAGGACGCGAACAGGTTCATGTGGATGAAGTTGCGGGTGCAATGCAGCTTCCTGCCCAGCGAGGGAGAGGCCTTGAGGTGGGTGACCCACAGCACGGCGGCAGTGCACTCAGGGCTGCTGTGGGCTCCCACCCTGACCACCCCCGCCTTCCTGCTTTCTAAGTTGCAGGCCCCCATCACCCAGCCCATGATCCTCTATGTAGACCAGGAAGGCACAAGCGAGGCAAGTAGGCCTCCTCCCTGGACAGGCCAGCTGCCCTCTCTGGGGTCAGGTTTCCCATCCCCTATCCTGGGAGTGGGGGAAGCCCCGCCCACCAGCTTCAGGGCTGATGTCCAGGGGGCGTGGTGAGGACTCTGAGCTGGAGTGGGCACGCTCACTGGATCACTGCTGGAGATCTTACCGGAAGCGACACAAGATGACCATGGCAGTGGTGAGGGAGACGAGGGACGTGCTGTAGCCAACTGTGTACAGGGCCTTCACCGACATGTAGTAGTAACTCTGGGGCAGGGCACAGGAGGGTGGGGCTCCATGTGGGGTCTGCCGGCCCCCAGCCCAGTCTCCCAGTCTCCCCCCTCTGGGCCCACCGCCCAGCCCCTCCTTCCTCCCTCCTCTTGCTGATCTCACCTCCTCCCTGCTCAGTGCCTCTACCTCTGAGACCTCCCCAAGCCCCCATCCCCCACTGAGTGGCTTCCTCCCCTCTGTAGTGTGTCTGCTCTCATCAGATGCTCCATAAATGCTTGTTGAGCGCAGGAGCTCTGAGCAATCCAGTCACCCCTTAGCCTGGACAAGAGTCCAGGAAGCCCCCTGCTCGGCCCAGCAATGACCCTCCTGCTGCTGGGCCACAGGAAGGCTGGGTGTCCCAGAGGAGCAGCCGGGGAGGTGGGGGCACATGGTGAGCGCTGAAGGAGCTCAGGCAGCAAACCGGCTGCTTCTCGGTCCAGAATGAGTGAATGAGAGTCTTACCCTCCGAGCATCCGGACACGGTGGGTGCTCATACATGCTGCCTGGGGACCTGAGATGCCTATCGTCCCACCAGGAGTCACAGCCTCTGCTGGGAACACCCTTCCACCCGCCTCCTCAACCCCACCCCCACTGCCTCTGGGCGCCAGTGGGCACACACTCACCTGGTCCCCAGACTCAGATTCATTATATTCATCAAACCCACAAGCATCTAAATAGTGAGGGAAGGTCTCCGACCAGCCGTCCTTCGTGCAGTTCCGGCTCACCACCCTCATGCCTGCGGCGGAAGAACACAGGCACAGAGATGATCTAAAAGACCCTGAAATTCTATTCGAAAGTCACTCCATACTTGGGGTTCCTGGGAAGCATGGCCACTCAGGTTCCTGAAATCCTCCACTATCTGCCTGGAAATAGTGACTGTTGATGACCTCAGGCTGGGCCTTTACGAAGGGCATGGGGGTCGGGGGAGGTGCATGCTGCTCTCTTAACAAGGGGAGAGGGGACTGGCCCAGCGGGAAGACTGGCCTCCACGGTGCCTGGGATTCTGAGTCCTGTGACCCAGGGCAGCAGGGCGTCCGCAGGCCCAGGGAGAGAATCGCTTCCGCTCACAATTCCAAGACAATTGCTCCTGCTCCAGCAAACCCAGCTCAGCTGCTACTGGCAGGCTCCTCCCAAGCCCCCGTGACCACCTCTTCGGAGTCTGGGTGTCCGTGGGACCGTGGCCTTGGCCACATTCCTCCCCTGCCTGGGCCTCATCGCCTCTCCACTTTGCCCACGTCAGGGTGGTGGGAAGAAGAAAGGGAAGTTGCTTCAAAATAACAATTTTTTTAAAAGTGTCCTGGAGGTATATGCTCTTTCCTTCCTCTTATTCTCCTTCTTTACATTTCCTTTTAATAACACAGTGTGGGCCCAGGACAGAAGCCTCTCTGTTCCGAACTCTGCCATGAACTGGCCACTCCACTGTTGTACTGCCCTCCAGACGGTCAGCACCGCAGTGACGGCCCAGGTGACTGCACCCGGCTCTCTCCCCCCAGCGATTCCACGGAGCACAGGACCTCGGGGCCCGGCTTCTCCAAGTGGGCGCCTCCCCAGACCAGCCCATCAGCATCACCTGGGAGACTGCCTGGACGTGCACCTTCTCAGGCCCCACCCAGGCCCACGGGATGAGTGACTCTGGGCGGGGGTCAGGAATCTGCGTCTCCACAAGCCCCCTGAGGGGTCGCGGCCACCGTGAAAGTGTGAGAACCACCATTCTACACAGGGGAGTTCCCAGCTGTCAGGGGCCACCTAATCCAGGAGGTTTTTATTTGGAGTCCACGATGGGGCTTCGAGAGATCTGTGTTCCCCTAACATTGTAGGCATGGCGTTCTGTCTGGGCACTTGAGGAGAAGACCCACAGCTTATCAGAGAAGGAAAAGGACCTGCCAGAGGCCACACAGCCACAGAGAGGCAGAGCCAGGCCTGCCAGAGGGGTCCCCCTGCTCACAGGTCAGCAGATGCCCCTCCTCTACCCAGCAGGTGGTTGATCCCAACGTACCTGAGAGGTCCAAGGACTTAAGGTCTTCAAAACCAAGCTCTCCTGCAAAACAGAGACATGGGCCTGAGTCAGAACACCCGCCATCAGCTTGCCCGGGCTGCCCACTGCCGGCCCCCCATGCGGGAAGGCCAAGCTCCCCTGGTCTGGAGAACGAGGGGTGGGGTCTCAGCCAGGAGGCAGCCCAGCACTGCACCCACACCTTCCTGACACACTGCACATCCCACCCGCAATCCATTGGCTTTGTATTTCTATGCTCTAATGATGCTGATGACTCAGTTCTCCTCCCTGGACCACAGGAAGTGGAAATGGGACATTGTCAGGACGGTGAGAGGGCCTCCCCCAGAGTGGGAGAGGAAGGAAAGGGGATGGTTGGGCCTTTTCAAGGACAAGGCAAGGAACAGCCACACGAGTCCTAGGCTTGGTCCCCCTCCTCTTTGGCGCTCACCCCTCCAAACCCCTCTCATCAAAGGGAACCCAGAACTTCAAAGCCTTTATCCTCAGACCTTTCTCTCTTCCTCTCCTGACTCTTTCTTTCCACCTCCACCCATGCTGACGCCCCTACTAGCAATGAGTCTCCATTTCCCCTCTACTTCTCTAAATCCTGTTCCCAAGGTCCAGCTGACATGCCGCCTCCTCCAGGAAGTCTCCCTGCACCTTTACATTGTTCTGCCCGCATGCGGCATCCTTAGGTCTCTTTGGTTCTGGAGCTTGCTGTACATTCCAACTCTGCAGCCACTGGGGGTGTCAGTATCTGTGTGGGCTCCCGCATACATTCAGGCCTGCACATACGTGTGTGGTGGGCTTGTTAACCCCTCCATGAGTGAGTCTCGTCCTCCCAAACAAGCCCATGAGCACCCTGAGGCCAAGGGCTGCATCTTCCATCTTCCTATGTCTCCACCCCCCCAAACCACCTCGAGGATGGCCAAGGGGGAAAGAAGCGGGGAGGGGAGAACCTGGTCCCTGATAAGCCTCTCATTCCACTCCCACCCGTTCCCAGCAGTCAGAGCCGGGCTCCAGCTGGATGGACAGATGGATAGATTATCAAGCTGGGTGGACAGATGGACAGATGAGCAGCAGTCTGTCCTCTCCGCGGTTCCTCTTACCGATGGTTTCTGTCTCCCAGACTGAAACAGAGAAAGGGAGAGAACGCAGAGGTGAGCAAGGGCTGAAGTGGGGTCTGCTCTCACTGGGCCCCAATTCCTCCCCCTCCTTCTTCCCCACCTCACCCCTAAACGCTGGGGCGAGGGTCTGCTGGGGCCCAGAGCCATGAGGACTACAAGCTAAGGCCGGCCAGACACTGGAGACATCTACCTCTCCCTCGGGAACAGGACACAGTTAGAGAAATGAGCAGAGGCGCCTGAGAACAGAGCGTTCTCCTGTCGCTCCACAGCCTGCAAAGCAGCAACCACCCCAATGAGAACGATGAGAACGCCAGGGGCAGCCCTGGGAACCCAGAGCTAACATGAGAAGTGCCGTTTGCAACTTTCCAAGTCCCTGTAGCAAGTCTCACTAATTCAGCTGTGCGAATGGAGATGCTAAAAGGCCTGCCTTAATGAGCTATTATGAGTCAGGTGTAAATAACACACTCATGGTGCAACTGCCAGGGGGAGGGCTGGTGTCTGAAGGAAAGTTTATCTCAAGAAGATCTTATTTTGTTGCTGATTCCTTTTGCCTTATTTTTATTGTTGGGAAGAAGCAGTCTTGCCATGGTGCCTGACCCAGAGGAGATGTTCAGTAGACTTTAAGTAGATGAATGGATGACAGGAGTCTGTGAACGGAGGATGGGATTAACCCGGCTTCTATAGGAAGGGATTAGAGATTGGGCTGCATCGCGGGGCTGCCACATGCCTGACGTCCCACCACTCACACTGCACTCACTTCCCTCCTCCGTCTCAGCTTCCAAAGTTCACCTCCTGTCCCGTTCTAGACAGCACGTGGTCACGCCCAGGCCCGAGGTGTCAGGATGGGAGTTTGTCTGCCACCCTCTTTCTGGGCTGGCAGGAGGTCTGAAGGTAGGGGGTGTGGCTAACAGGCCCCAGAAGGGGAAGCGGGGGAAGGGAGAGGCAAGGTGGGGGGCACTGCAGCTACATCCTGCCTTCTCTGGTCAGAGGATGGAACCCTGAGACACAGGCCTGGCACCCAGCATGCTGCCACTGTCTCCTGCAGGCACCTGCCATCCAGGCAGAGTCAAGGTTGGCAGGATTCCAGGAAAATCAGAATTTGCTTCTATCTCAGGCAGGACAGGGGCCGGGCCGGCAGGACTCTGTAGTGGCCTGGAGTCTGGGAACTCCCTACTTCTAGGACATCGACCGAAGCCTCAGGTGAAGGAGGAAGCGAGGCCCAGGCCGCAAGTGACTTGTGCATGACCACACCCGTGACTCAGACCCTCCTACCCGCGAGGCCCCTGCCCAGGGCTCCGTGGTCAGCACCGACCCACATCGTTCTCAGTAAACCACCTGCCTGGAGCCCCGCCCCCAACAGTGCTCTCAGCTCACCCCTGACACCCACAGGGGTGCGGTGGAGGGCCAGGGCCTGGCTCTAGGCTCTGCTCCGGGTCACAGTGATCTGGCCAGACACCAACCTTCTTTGGGAGCCCACAAGGCCTCAAGGGAAGGCGGAAACAATCTCACACCCAAAGGAGAGATGCCATCTCAGACTGCTCCCCACAGAGATGTGGTCACCACAGCCTGGGGCCTGCAGATAGCCCGCTGCCTTCTCCCCGCCTCGCCTCCCTATATCCTGAGTCACAAAGCCCATCACTGCCCACCCCTAGGTCTCCCACATCGGCTGGGGCCCCTGAGTAACTCCAGGGCACTGCAGTAGCCCCCCCACACACACCTCAACAGACACGCCCCAGGCTGAGCTCCTTATGACACTGCACCCACCCAGCCTCTCCTCGCAGGGAGGCAGCCATCAGACACCGGTCACCCAAGCAGGCATCTGCATGTCACACAGCTCCCGTGTGCCCAGCGTCCTCTCCCAGGCAGCCCAGGGGCTCCTGGGGGACAGGACCCCAGCTCCTCCTCTCCTGAGCCCACATCGCTGCCCGAGGTCAGGGAGGACCAAGAACACACTCCACTTAATGCGCACGAGTGCGCCTGCCTGACGGTGAGGTCGGCCCTGTGCCTGGATCTGAGTGGTGTGCGAGTGTGGACGCCGGCAAGTGTGGCCGTGGGGGAGCGTCCTGTGCCCACTGCCTGGGGTGTCTCCCTGTGTGCCTGTGTGTGTCTCTCTGGGCCCCTCAGGGTCTCCAGATGAGTGGTGACGGCAATAACATCAGTTAACAATTACCACTGGGTATTAAAACGTGCCCAGTCCCACACTAAGTGACTCCCCCGTGTATCACTTGGTCCCCAGTGACCCACCACATGCCTATTTGACAGACTAGGGGACGAAGGGGTGAGGGCCTTGCCCAAGGCCTGCAGCAGGGGTGAGTGATGGAGGCCGTGTGTGAAAGCCCAGCTGTGCCCCACCCGTGATGTCACACCCCCCACGTGGACCGGGCAGCCACGCCTGAGGGAAGCCTGTGTGTCCCTGTGTAGAGGTGGCGTGTGGTCCCATCCCCGCGTCCCTGGGAACAGCTATCAGCCTGTAGGGCAGCCCTGTCCTTGGTGCTCGTGTCCCAGGGAGGTCTGGGGCCCCTGCGGGGAGCGGGCGGGGCTGAGTGTGGCCTGAAGAGGCGCGGGCGAAACCCACCTTGGTCCGGATCGAAGATTTGGAAGAACTTGGGGCAGCTGACCAGGACTATCTCGCCCACGCGGGCGGGCTTCCAGCACGTGATGTTGTCCCACATCCCAGGGCAGCCTGTGGGGAAGAGAGCATGTGAGCCAGGCCCTGGCAGCGGGCACCTCAGTGGGCTGGTCCCCTCAGCTCCCTGGACGGCCCCTAGGCCCCCATCATGGGTGTGGGGAAGGCGATGGGATGGGAGTCCACCAGGAAAGGATGGGGAGGAGGGGAGGAGGGCACCCTGTGGACTTTGTTTACTCGGCGGGGGGGGGGGGGAGGGGAGGGGGCGGGCAGAGGAAGTGCCCGAAATGACCATGACCGATCAGGACAGAGAGACGGAGGAGGAGGAGGGGGGAAGTGGCAGCAGAGCATGGAGAGTCGGGAGAGGGTCCGCATGCTGCAGAGGGGTCCATACACACTGGTGCAGAGAGGGCCTCTCTGCCAGGTAAGGTACAGCCAGTGGAACTGACCTCCCTCTCCCCACCCCCCCACCTCTCACCCCCCGCCCCCCGCCACCCCTCACCTCCCCACACACACTCCCCACCCCCAGGACTGCTGGGAGGAGTAATGAGTTCACACTCATTACCCAGCAGAGCGCCAAGCTCACTCCTCGCATGCCCCCTACTGTTATCATCAATAACTTCACGTCAATTAGGTGTCCCTGGAATCATTCCCTGGAGAGGGGCCTGCAAGGGGAGAAGGCAAGGGGAGAAGGCCAGTGGAGGGCCGACAGGTCACAGAGGCAGCCTGGGCAGAGAGGGGCCTGGGCCGGCCTCATGAGCTCTGTTGGGTGCTGTGTGGACCAGAAGTGGTCTGTCTCTCAGAATTGACACCTGGCTATTTTGGAATTCATCCCCCATCACAGTAACGTATAGCATCCTACTCCTGGAATGACCAAGTCTGGGAGCTGGAAACACCATCGAAAGCTCAGAGGGCTCTGGCTGGTGTGGCTCAGTTGGATGGGCATTGTCTCAGGCACCAGAGGGTCACCAGTTTGATTCCCAGTCAGGGCATATGCCCGGGTTGCAGGGTTTCTGGCTCAATCCGTGGTAGGGAACATACAGGAGGCAGCTGATCGACGTTTCACTCTCACATGATGTTTCTCTCTCTCTCTCCCTCTCCCTTCCTCTCTCTCTAAAATCAATAAAAGCACATTTTTTTAAAAAGAAAATAAGAAAGAAAGAAAGCTCTGAGGACCACAAACCAAGATGGCAAGGTCACTGGGGGCCACATGCGAGGAACCGTGTCCCAGGCCTCACAGCAGCAGGCCAGCCATTGATGGTTCCCGTCGCCCACCCCAGCAGGGCTCCAGCCGCACACGCCTGGTTGTGACATCCGGTACTTGAAAGGGGACCCAGCAGCTCAGTGTGGGCTGCAGGGCCCCTGCTGGCCGGGAACAGTCACGGAGTATGGTCACGTCGAACGTCCAGCCCATGTCCCAGGTGCCCCGTTAACAGATGTTCCCTTATCGTGGAACAGCGAGGCCTGGCACAGCCAGCTGCCACTGCCAGCTGACGCTCCTGAGGCCCTGGGGCACTTCAGATGGAGGCGAGCAGTCACAAGGACGGCGGGGCGGTGAGGGGCACAGGGCTCGGGTGAGGATGGCACAAGGAAGAAGGGGCTCACAGGGTGGGGGGCCCAGGCCTGGAGGCAGGGCAGGCGATTCATTCTCTTAGCTATTTTCTGAGCTCCCGCCATGTGCCAGGGCTACAGAGGTGGAGATAACACTTGGGAAGTTTGCATTTGAGGGCCGAGAGTGGGAGAGGGCAGGGTGTCCCTCAGCTCTGCACGTCAGCCACGAGACTGGAGTTCTGTCTACTGCAGCCCAAGGCTCACTGCATGACTCTGGCAAGTCTCTACCCCTCCACCCTGCCTCAGTTTCCCTGTGTGCACACTGAGGGCTGGGTGTCTCTGAGGGTGCTCCCAACTCTGAGCGACTAGAGCTCCAATCAGGAACAGAGATTTCACTCGAGATCTGCCAATGCCCAGAAGCCGGGGCGCCTCTCTGGTCCCACTGCCAGGGCAAGTGTCTCCCAAGGCACATCTGCCAAGATTTCCAACAGGCAGTGAGATGAAGGTCTGGAGTGCAGGGGGAGTCGGAAATGGAGGAAGAACAGGGGGTGGTCAGCACAGGGATGCCAGGTGGGGCCATGGACCTGGCTGATCTGTCTCATGAGAAGGCCTAGATTTGAGAAGAAGAAGAGAGAAGAGCGCATGACCCCAACAAAAGAAGGTATGCCAACAGCAGAAGAGCAGCTGGCAGAGAAGACTGAGGAGGGGAGGCCAGAGGCAGGAGGAAACCAGGAGAGGTTAGTGACAGCAGCCAGGAACGCGTGCTTCCAGGCGGCGATGGTCCAGTGCATCAGCCACTGCTGAGAGGCTGAGAACGTTCCCTCCTCTCCTCGCCCCTGCAGAGCAGGTCGGGAATTGGAACTGCTCTGGGCCCTGGAGGACTCTCCACAGGGTCACCCCACCTCCCTATTCCTCTCCTGCTGTAGCCCAACTCTACACTGGCTGCCTGTGCCCTCCTGGCTCTGCCTCTCTCCCTCCCCGCCAGCCTCTATGGAACTTGGTCAGAGGAATTCAGGCGGGAAGTGGGGGGGCGGGGGGAGGTGCCTGCGTGGTGGGAGAGGCCCCATCTCCCGGGCTGCTCCCACTAAGCCACCCACACAAAGCAGCAAGGAGCGGCAGCGCCTCGTGACAACAGCGGGAGGAAAGACCACTCGGGCAGGCTGAACAGAGAGGACGCGGGAGCCATTAGCCTCAATTGGAACAGAATGAGGCGCTCATCTCGGGTTGTCATGGTGACGATCCTGTCCAGTTCCACAGTGTGTTCAAAGCCGCGAGAGCAGAGGCACCGCAGGGACTCAGACAAGGCACAGCCGTCCCTTTGAGAAGCCGCCGAGGATGCATGCGTATACTAAGCCCCCATTTTAGCATACAGTTCGAGGGGAAAGCATGATTTCCATTTACTGAGTTATTTTTCCCCTCGAGCTCAGCGGCTCTCAAAGTGTGGACCCCAGACCAGGAACTCCACTGGGAACTGGCCAGAAATGCAGATGCCCAGGCCCCTCCAGACCCACTGAGTCAGAAACTCTGGTGCTAGGCCTAGCCACCTGTTTTAACAAGTGTTCCAGAAGATTCTGACGCAGGCTCAAGTCAGATTTGGGGAGCGAGGGGTCCCTGCAGACCCCATTCCTCCCCCATGCTGGGCGTCTGTTTAGTCTCACAGCAGCTGGGAGGTGCAGGCAAGAGGCTGATTCTGCTCCCAGGATGGGAGCCTGGGCCCAGCCCTGCAGTGGTTCCCTCCTCCAGGCCTCTCCTCTTCTGGTGGGGGCGGGGCAGTGGGGGGAGTGGCTGGGACCAGGCACTGTGCACCCTGGACTGGCCTCAGAGGCCGGTCAGAAGAGCAATGAGCAGGCTTTCGTCTTCTGTACAAGTCTCCTTCCTCTGCCCCTGCCAGGGCCGCTGCAGGCGTCCCTCTTCCATCTCCTCCAGAGTCTGGGGACCCCCGAGGACCACACCTGACCGGCCCTGCTTAAATGCTGGCCAGGCCTCCAGGCTGACGGAAGCCTGCAACCCTGCAAAGGGGAGGCTCTGGCCGGACTCACACGGGACAGCCAGGCTGCCTGGGCGGAGCAGAGAGCAAACAGGCCCGCCCAGCAGGCAGGGCCTGTGACCGGCGTGGGTCTGGGACCCTCAGGAGTGGAGAGTCAGGTTCCCACGCCCAGGGGCCCTTTTTCCTTCTCTCTGGCATAGGGCACTGCAGCACAAAGGGCACCCCTGGCAGGGGCCGCAGACCTGGGGCCTGTCCCCGAGCTGGCTCGGGCCCTCGGTGTAACTTGGCCAGGGACTGCCACCTCTGGCCTCAGCCTCTCTGAGTGTCACGTGACAGAGCTGGACTCCGTGTTGTCTTGAGTCCCACTTAGCATTCAGAGGTTTGGAATGAGGGACAAAAGCACTAAACACAACTCTTCAATAACAGTCCCAATAAGCATCTTGAGAACATGCCGAGGCTGATGCAGACAGAAGCGCCGGGCAGAGGGCTTGCTTTTGCCCTCCACCACCTTGCCGACGCATCCTCCTCCTTCACCTGCCTGCTCAGCTCCCATGCCTCCCCCAGCGTGACCCTGTCCCTCAGCTTCCCTCTGGAGGCCACAATGCACATCACCACCCGGTGTTCTCTCGGGGGTGGAGGTCCTGGGAGGGACAAGGATTTAAGAGGTGCAGGTGCCTCCGTGTCCTCATCTATAAGACAGGGGTAATAGTAGAGCCTACCCTCCAGGTTGCTGCAGTGGGAGAAAAAGCACTAGTATAGTGCCTGGCACATGGAAAACCTATGTAAGTATTGGCTATTGATAAGGTTCGTCCCACCTGCTCGTTTTAGTAGTGGAGCTTCTGTGGCACAGAGCTCTTGCTGCTGTGGTGCCCCCACCGAGGATGTTCTCCCCACTCACTCACCCTCAGCTCTCACCTGCCGTCAAGGGCCTAGTGGTCCCTAGGGCCTAACTCGGGGGTTCTCAGACCAGCTTCTCGCCAGCGTCACCTCGGAGCCTTTAAAGTCACGGTGACTGTGAGGGACTGTGGTTCTGGTTTGGACTGTAGCGTGAGCACATTCTTCTAAAAGCTCCTGGAGATTCTGATGTGCAACCAGGTTTGAAAACCACGGACCTAGTATAAATCTTGTCCATGAACCCTCCCAGAATTCCTCTCTTCCTCTCCTGAGCACACCTGGGGTGCAGCCTCTCCCAGCACTGGCCTGCCCCCTCCTGGGAGGGTGTCCATCCTCACCTCTGTCTCACGCTCACGTCGCCCCTGTGGGCTAGCCTACTTGTCCTTCCCCAGCTGGGGCTCCACAAACATCTGTGCAATAGCCCCGCCTCCCACCTCTACCCTTTCCTCCTGGATGCTTCTTATGCCCCACCCCACATGCCCCTGACACCTGTGATGCAGGAACAGCAGCCCTGGGCTAGGAGGCAGGACACCTGGGCTCCAGGTCCACCTCATGGCCCCATTTCCCAGCTCCTAGACCAGAGCCTTGGGCCAGATACCAGTTTGGTCTCCTGCAACTGGGCACCTGTTTGGGGCCCCTGCCTCTGTTTCCCTGGCTGGTGAGGCCTAGAATCCACTTCCAGCCTCAGTTAGGGCTGAGCCAGAGCTCGGCTGGAGGGCAAGCGAGTCCAGCATGGCCGGAGCAGCTCTATTAGCAGTTAATGTTCACTGTCTGGCCAGGGAGCTTGGCCTAGAGGGACCGTTACACATAACTGGGCTGCAGATTAATCGAGTATTTAAGCAGATGGTGCTCAGAAGAGCTCCCTATAAGCAGAGAGGATCCTTCTCATCTGGGCAGAGAGCCCCACCCTCCAGCGACGGAGGTGTAAGTGAGGCTGGCCAGGCCTCCAGGGATGCCCCCACCCCCAAGTCCCTGGCTTCCCACACCGCCCCCCTCTCTGGTTGCTGGGGGTCAGGAAGTCCAGGGTGCCCTTTCCCTGTGGGCCTCAGCGTCCTCTCTGCACAGTGAGGGAGTTAGGAGAAGGGGGCCACACAGGACCCCTGGTTCTCAGCCAGGGCCACGCCACTGCCTGGAACATCTGGAAATGCTACGAGGCATTCCGGGTTGTCACTGGGATCAGGGGAGCCATGGCATCTGATGGGGAAACAACGGCTGCTAACTGTCCTCAGTGCGTGGCCGCTCCCGCAGAGGAGGCAGCACCCCGCCCCAGGCTGAGAGCAGCTCCGGGAGGAGGACTGCCCAGACAGGCGGGGGTGGGTTACCGCTGCTGCCTCGTCTCTGGCTTCTGGTGGAGTGAGCAGAGGAGGTGAAGAGGGCCCCACACCTCCTTCTTGGGGCTGCCCACCTGCTCTCCAGCTCGGGCACCTGCAGCAGCTGTGTCCCTGCTGCTGCCAGGCCCAGGCCGCCTGCTAACGAGCTCTCTGACAGCCAGACCCAGCTCTAGCCCAGCCCCCTGGGATCTAAGGTAGCCACACCCAGCCACTCAGAACAGCCCTCCCACAGGGAGGCATCCAGGGCAGGCTGTCCCCAATGAGGGCAACCCAGTGTCGCTGCCCAGAGCACATCCAGGACTCCACTGCCCCACAGGGCTCTCTGAAAGACCCGGGGACCCGTCCCCTCCACCTTTCTTCCCAAGGTGGCCACAGGCTGGGGCACCAGTTTTAATGGCTATGGATGTGCTGGGATACCATGTCCTCCCCGCCAGCCTACTCACCATGGGAGGAGGCGTTCAAGCCCATCAGCTCGTTGGCCTTTCGGATCTTCTCCAGGCACAGGACCTGCTCCTGCTTGAACATGCAGTCGGAGTGCATGGCGGCCACCTGCAGGGAACAGGAGGGATGGTGGGAGGGAGCAGCAAGACTCACTATAAGCCCTGGGGCCGGGGGGAGGGGCAGAAGCAGGATGGGGATAATGACAGAAACTTCAGGGCCAGCAGGGACCCTGACATCCACTCTGTCACAGACACCATGAGGTTCTTCTTTACCAACTCAAAGTGTGACCTTGGGTAGATCCCACCCTGACCCTGGGCCTCAGTTTCCAAGTCTTATAAAAGCAGCAGCAAACACAGATATAGCACTTTATGACCTTCATACTCTATTCTGCCATATACTATATGTGTATACATATATATCCAGAGGACTACAAGGTAGGTAGTATTTTTGCCATTTTTCATTTTACACATGTGAAACTTAAGCCCAGAGATGTTAAGTAACTTGCTCAAAGCCACACAGCGTAGTAGACTATACAGCCCCAGACAGTGTAGCCCCAGAAGCCACAAGGCTACTGCTACACTTTAGGGGAGCCAGCAGGGGCTGGGGGAGAGGAGGGGCTGATCGCTCATTGTCTCTCTCCTCTGGGGACTGGGGAAGGAGGTGCAGGCGGGGAGCAGTGGCAGCATTCAGTGGGCCTATGAACCACTCCCATTTACTCTTGCCCCATTTTACACAAGAGGAAACTGAGGCTCAGAGAAGTTAAGAAAACTCCTGCCCAAGGTCCTACAGCTGGTTAGTGGCAGATGCTGGATTCAAGCGCAGGAGCAAGTAACTTCAAAGCCCTGGCATTGCTGTCGCCACTAACTCAAAATTCGGGGGCAGGATCGGTTCTGTAGGGGGATGTCGGGAGCACGGAGGCAGGCACATCCAGGACTCCCATGTTCGGTCTAGCCCCGACTGTTCACAGAGGTGCAGACGGCTTCCAGGGCGGGGGACAGGCTGTCTGTGGCCACACGGTGAGGCAGGGCAGAGGCGGGGCTCGGGTCCAGATCTCGGAGACAGCGAGAGCCACTGCTGGTGTGAAGTCCCAGCTCGGGGCGGGGGCCAGGGCCCGGAACCCTCCCCACCGCCCTCGCTCTGGGAGAGACATGAGCAGAGAGCAGGCTCCTGAGCCCTGGCCTGGCAGACTGGTGAGCAGGGGCCTGGGGTCAGAGAGCCTCCTGCAGCCCGGACGGGGCCCTGCAGTGCGCAGGATGCACAGCGCTGAGACTGCCCACGTCAGCATCGCGTTATCGAGTTACATTCCTAAACTGTGTAAGGATTTCTAGCCAAGTCAGTTGAAGGCCTTGAGGATGGGACACCCTTTCTAATTCACAAAAGTGCTGGATGGTCCAGTGGGGGTGCCAGCAGAGATACCAGCTGAGGGCAGGCCAAAGACAGGGTTCTCTGGGGTGAGGGCTCAGGTGAGCTGGGGGCTGCAGCTGGTGGGGGGAGGGGGGACAGGGTATGGACCTGGGGCCTTACCAGAGGCAGCAGCAGGAGAGCAGCCAGGGAGGCCCATACGATGCTGGCCATGGCGCTTCTCAGCCACAAGGAGGCTCAGGCCAGCACCGCTCACCGCCCACTCAGAGCAGCCGCTGGTCAGCCCCAAAGTGCCTAGGGTTCGAGAGAGAGGAAAGGCATGAGTCCTGCGGGACAGCCTGCTCTCCCCCCGATGCCTCCCCTTCCTGCGGGAAGGCTCTCAGCCTCCACAGGGAACCCCTCATGCCTTCGTCCATGCTGTTCTTCATTCTCTGCCCCACAACCGCCTGCTGAGCACCCACATCTGCGAGGCACAGAGGACACGGTGGGAGCACACCGGGCAGGCCCCCAGGGGACCACTGGGGTGGTGTGGGTGGCCTTCTCCTCTGCGGCAGGCGTTTGCCTCCCCCATCTCCCTCCACAACAGCTTTAGCTGTCACGCGTGTGCCCGCCTGTCCCTCTTGCTCAGGTGAGGGCATGTGAGAGTTCCCACCTATGGAAGGGGCGGCAGTGACATGTCCTTACAGCATCACACGCTGTCCTCCTGCTCCTACGCTCTTCCCAATGCTGGACCCACCCGCTCTGACAGGGCAGCCAGGATGACCCCTGAGCGGTGGGGGCAACACTCCGGGGGGAACCGGGATGCCTGAGGGAGCTCGTGGAGCGGGGCCACCCTAGCTCCAGGCTGCTACGTGAGACAGGAGCGCACCTCTAACCTGCTCACTCACGGAAGGCCGCTTGGTTCCAGCTGCCGAGCTGGTCCCCTAGCCCCACAGCCTCCTGCACCGGCCTCCGCCCGCTGGGCCTCCAGGCCAGAGCCCTCACCTCCCACACGCACAACAAAGCGGCTGCCGAGGGAGCTGGGCCTCCGCGCTGCAGGGGCGCCGGGTCCTCCAAGACTGAGGCCACAGTGTGTGGGGAGTCGAGTGAAGAGGCTGGGGAGGCCCGCACAGTCGCAGGGGATGAGTCTGGTCGCCTTGAAAACTGATCGTTAGCACATAGTCCCATCCACCCAGGGACCCCGCACCTGGAAGTCTCTCCTGGAGAAACCTTTGCACTTGAACAGAAATTGGCACGGTGAGGTTACTCACCGCAGCACCATTGACAACAGCATCCACACAAAGCATGGGCCACAAGGCCTCCATCCCATCCTGCAGGCACTGTTCACAGGCCCGGCACAGCCATACAATGCAATACGACTCAGTCATTTAAAACGTATGTTTATTACTATTCAATTACAGAGTGATTGAGGAGACCCGTGTCAGGGTCACCCCTAGCCCACAGGTGCCTGGTTCGGGAGGCCCATGGGCACTACATTCGGACCACTAGCCTTGCACACCCCCACCAGCGGGCAGAGCTGCCGTTACCCTAGGGCCGTTGTGCCCAGGCTCTCTGCCCATCCATGCCTCCCTCCCTCTCTCTCTGCCACTCCAAGCTGCCCTCAGCCCTCCAAGCTAAAGTGGGGGACAAACAAGCACCCAAAGCAGTGAAAGAAAAAGAGCCACAGGCAGGCTCCATGAAAGGGGCCTGTCTTAGCCCCCTGCTGCTCTGCCTGCTTAGGGCCCACTCAGAGATGCTGAAGGCGGCCTCCGTACCCCCCAAGAGTTGCTCTGAGAAGTCCAGTGGCCATGGGGATGCTGGCCCAGCCTCTGCCCTGTGGTTCAGGAAAAGCTACCCGGGCTGGGCAGTCCCTGGCCAGCACCTCTGGGTGCCAGCTGTGTACAGGGCTCTCCCACCCCTGCTGTCACAGGCTGCCTCTGGATGACCTGGCACGAGCAGTCCCCGGAGGCTGGGTCACCTCCACTATCCCTGGGGAGCTCCAGGCCCTGTCCGACATGCCTGGCGGGACCATGGGAATGCCTGCCCACCCTCAGCAGATGCAGGAGGCCGGCTCTCCCCACCAGCAGAGGGCTCCGAGGAGAACCACAGGCAGAGGTCTCTGAGATGTGGAGCTGACTCTCAGGCACGTAGGCCAAAGGATGGTGAGGTGCAAAGTCAGGGAGGCCTCCACCCAAGACAAGGCCTCCAGTACCTCTGCCAGCCCCTCTGGCCCGGAGGCCAGCAGCCAGGGCCGACTCTGGTCCCAAAATGCGCTCTAACCTATTAGCCCTGCGCTCAACCTGGGCTGCCCCCCCCCCCAACCACTGAGGTGTGTTTAAAATACCCCTGCCCAACTGAGCAGGTGCTCTAGGGCCGGGACGGGCCTCGGGGCTGATTAAAGCTCTCAGGCGACTCTCACTCTCACGTAGAGCAGAACCACGAACCTGTTTAACCTCCATCAGCACCAAGACTGCTAGCCCCGAAAGGACAGTGGCTTCCTTGGCTCTGGTTGCTCTACAGGCAAGCAGGTGGCAGCCAGCAAGCAAGGGGTTAGTCTATTGAAGACTGGCTGATGCCTGATTCTCTCTCTCTCTCTCTCTCTCTCTCTCACACACACACACACACACACACACACACACACACACAGGTCCACAGAGAAGATCATAAAGACATTTATCCCCAGGGCACCCACTTGAAAGCATCAATACAAAATACAAACAGCCCTGTGTGGAATACACAAAGGAGGAGAGGAGGAGATGCCTTCAGGGGCTGACAGACCACCACACACACACACACACACACACACACACACACACACACTCCTTCCCAGCAATGCAGAAGCACGCTCACCCAACCGAGAACAAAGATGTGTGCAGATGCAGTCACACCGGTATGTTTATCAGCCTCGTGACACATATCATAACGCACTTACACACACTCATTGCGCAAAGGCACTCAGCTAGGTAGAGGCAACGAGATCTGTCTGGATTCTGATGCAGGAGGGACACACGCAGACATACGCACTCCAGGCCTGTGCGCGTGCACACACGTATGTTCACGCGGGGAGGCGGACAGGCAGGTGCTCACCCCGCTCCCGGCAGAGCAGCTCTGCGGCCACCACTGCAGTGGACTGAACACACGCTGGAGACCCACTATCCCCCAGTGCCCTGCTTTGTCACCGGGCTGTCCAAGCCCAGGGACATAGGGTGGACGGGTGGGATCCGCTCAACACGAGCCGCCTGTGGAACTAGGCCTGGCCAGGTTCCCGATTCCCACTATTGTCCTCTCTCTCTTTCTTTTATTGAGATGTAATTGATATGGAACATTATATTAGCTTCAGGCATCCAACATAATGATTCAATAGCTATATATTGCAAGTGATGGCCACATAAGTCTGGTAAACATCCATCACCTAGTTACACAATTTTTTCCTTGTGATGCCAACATTCATGACTGATTCCCTTAGCCCACTGCTGTCCTCACGTATCCACCCTCCCCCACTACATCCACCCCTGCCCAACCGGATGCGGACACACCAGCAAGAGACCCCGGAAGCTCCCAAGCCCTGGTCTTCCCACCCCCCCACCTCCACTCGGGACCTCAAGTGGCACCTCACTGCGCATTCTCTACATACACTACCTTCCTCTGCCTCACCACCCCTTCCTAGGGCACGTATTCATGCTTCCTAGTAACAAGGGCGAACTGGGGGCCTAGAGAGAA